CTTCTTCTTCTTCTTCTTCTTCTTCTTCTTCTTCTTCTTCTTCTTCTTCTTCTTCTCCTTCTTCTTCTCCTTCTCCTTCTCCTTCTCCTTCTTCTCCTTCTTCTGGCTTGAACTTAGGGCCTGGTTGCTGTTCCCAAGCTTTTTTCATTCAAAGGATAGTATTCTACCACTTGAGCCATGGCTCCACTTCTGGATTTTTTTGGAGATAAGAGTCTCACAGATTTGACTTTCCTGCCTGGGCTAGTTTCAAATTATGATCCTCAAGCTCAGCCATCTAAATGGCTAGGATTATAGACATGAACCACCAGAGCCTGGCTAGTAGTCAAACTTCTAATTATTGCTTTGTATTCAGCCAACACAATCTGCTTCCCTTAGTCTGTGAGAGGATACAGGGGCAAGGCAGCGTTTATGTCTGGAGGCATGAGGGAAATTAATCCAACTTCTAGGAAAGGTGCAGCAGAGATGTCTGAGGATAAGGATGCCTTAGCAATCTGCAATCTAACCACACAGATTGCAGTAAACAGTGTGATTGCATTCCTTACAGAAGCTGTCGGGAGGTTGATCCTCCCATTTTCAACCAATTTGCAAACAAAAAACAAAACTATATTAACAGCAGTTTTTAATCTGCATCAACTTTTTTCATCATGAAGAGGTATCCTAATTCCAGTGTCTTGACAGATGCTCAATATTGTGGCCTCCAGTGATAGAGTTCCTTTGGATAAGCCAAAGGAACAATGGTATTAGCATGTGGAGATCCCTAACAAATGCACCTTCTACTCTTCTGGTTTAAGGTAAATCATTTTCTTCATTATCCCTTTTCTCTTCTTCATCATTTTCAAAGACTTTACCTGGAGCCTGGACACCACAGCAGATGAATGGACACATGCCAGCTAGCCAGGTTCAAAAGAATACTTTCGAGCGCTAAACACTGGCCAGGACAATATAGAAGGAGCTGCTCTCAGGCTTGGATCTGCAGTTGTCACAGATTATTAGGTCAATACTTGATAATGTTAGGATTGTTAACTAGGACTACAGGTGCAAAGGAAGCAATAAGAAAAAAAAAGTTACTCGTGGTTGATTTCTAGTTCTGCCCATGTTTTCAATGCTGAGAAACAAGACCAAACAGAAATGACTCTGTCTTCTATAGAGAGGTAGCCTCTTGATTCAGTTAGGCAAGAAGTTGAGGATGGTTGAGTTAGGCCCTGAGAAGTGGCTCCTGAGCATCTTGCCTCCAAAGAGCCTTTCTTGACATGCTATGATTCTATTGGTACAGGTCTCCAAATGTTCAGTAGTGAGCTCTGGGTGATTTAGGGCAAGTGGAATATTAACTTGGTATGTGTTAGGCCTTGGATTCTGGATCTGTTGAGTTGCATATTGATATCAGGGTTTTGAAAGGTTTTTGATATTGAGTTTTTAAAATTTTGTTTAGTGGTTCTGTGATCATGGTGAGCATCATGGTACCATTTGAGTTGCTCTACAACAGACAATACCTGAAGGTGCTATAGCCCCACAGCAGGCCAACACCAGTTCCTTCTTGGCTTCCTGTCTCTCAAACTCAAAGATGACATCCATAGACAACGTAGGCTTAGCGTGGAAGTATGGAATTCATTCAAGTGACAAGAAGCAAAAAAATGGTTTCAATAGAAGGTTGCTTACAAAGTGGTTCAGTCTAGGGGTTTTATAAACTGAGCTGTTCTCTGATGGGTCATAACTTATGCAAATGAGGCATAAGATAATCACAGAAGACCTGGGACAGTTACTGAAGACCTGGTCCTCAATCAGGTCTGTCCTACATATTCTCACACTCAGGATCATGGGAAGGCTAATTGAACTGAGAAGGCAAAACTAGGAGAGTGAGAGAGAGAGGGAGAGGCAGGACATTCTGTCCCCTGTGGCTGGGGTTTTTTGAAACAAACTTAACAGTTCTCAAGGTCTAGTCTCCTTTTGTTAGGTCAACAGTGCTTCTCTGTTGGGAGGTTTTTCCAGGGGCCTTGGGCCCTGACAAATCTACCTATTTAACTGATTTTTACCTATCCAAAATCAAAGGCATGTTATGGGCAAGTTGTTTGTCTCAGGAATTAACTAACCTTGCAAAAAACAGTTTCTCTTTGGGTCCACAAGGCCCCTAAATGTAAAAGCAACATAAGACACAGAAAGGATAAACAATGGTACAAAACACTGAGGAAACATGAGTTCCCCATTACCCTGGGACATTTGGAGCTCCAGGGACTTTCTTCAAGGCTACACCCTCCAGGACTCAGGATCCTGCCTCTGAATGTTTGCCGGTTCTCACAACCTCACACTGCCTCTAATGACCCAGAGCCCTTCTTTGCTTTTTCAGGAAACAACCGGGATAAAAGTCCAGGGCTGGAACTTCCTCCTCTCTGTGTGTGGCAAGGCCTGATGTACTCTAGGCCCTTTGAGTCCCGGAAGTCCAGGACACACCCAACCTTGATTGCAGTGTCTAGAATGCTGGAGCATAGGTAAAAGGACACAAGCAAAACACAACATGAGGGATCCACTAACAGACTGCTCGGTGAGTAGCTCAATGAAGTTTGTGTGTCTCTTTGAGGAGGGAGGGAGTAGATTCACGTATTAAAGGATTTTTAACTTTAGAAATGTGAAACTCTCAGAAACCAAACATGTTAAGGTATTATAACGTCTGTGGTTTTACTTTGGTTTAATTTGACACAGAGCTTATTCTAAGAAATGGCTGTAATAGTTATTTTTCATTGTCAAATTTGTAGGAAAAAAAATTAAGTGAACGTGTAGTATCATATTTGGGTCCAGATGGTGGATGTTTCTAAAATAGTTTAAGATGCACACCAATGGTGACAACACTGTGTGTGGAACAGATACAAAATCATGCAGCATGTCTGTAACCAAGAGTTGTCTGTGAGAATGAAACTAGGGAAAACTTTTTTGCTTTCTTCCACCCTCCAAAGTATTTAGAGTTAACAATCCCAAGACCTGTAATATTCAGGGTAAACTCTCCAATCTGTTTACCCTGTAGTTGTTCTCGTGTATTTATTCATTCCCAGGAGCATTACTACAAATAGAGGATCGTCATAAGTCCAAAGCCATTGTGAGGTCATTAGTAGAAACGGCTGAGATACGATTCAGAAGAAAAGAAGCACCTAAAATAAAGGGATGGTGTATTTGTTTTAAAAATACAGCAGTTGAGGATTGTTCATGTCTTATCGTAATAATGATGCTGAAAAGCTAAAATGGTAACATGAGAAGCAAGGGCCTATAGTCATTATGTATGTGTTTTATTAGAAAGACTATGGAGAAGGAAATAGGCACTGTAATAAAGCCATAAAGAAAATAATCAACAGAGAATTATTGATTTCCTCTTTGTTTATTCAAATAATAAGGAAATCACAGGCTTAGAAAAAATGGAACTATACCTACCATTTTTCAAAATGAGTCAGAGAACCTAAATGAGATGAGCTAGTAAATAGTCAGCTTTACCTGTTTACTTTTCTATGTACAAAACTAAGTGTGTTTAATGTATAGTGGAATTTTAACAACATGGTGGTCTATACCTGCTAAAAGTAAAAGTTTTTCCATTATTTCTTCAACTTCAATCTCTCCATTAGTAATTACAGATAACTTTTATTTTTTTCCAAATTTTTATTGTGACTAAGTGGTTACGTAATTTCCCAAATTTCACAGTATACAGATAACTTTTAACAAAGTCTTTTATTGATAATTTGTTTATTTACATTTTCTTACTAGCCCACTCTCCTATCTCAATGTTAATACCTGTTTTGATGGGTTTTGCTTTTTGTTGTTAATGCCTGTATGGTTTTTGGGTTTTTTTTTAACTGTACAGGCTTGGTAGGGTGGGACTGGAATGATAGAAATGGAACTTGACACTGATAGTCATCAAAGGAGAAAGTCAATGCCAAGATAATATAAAAGAGCAAATAAATGAGACAAAGTTCTGTAAAAAAATTTAAAAAAGGAAGAAAGTAAAAGGGAACTAAGGCCTAACATCCTTTTGGTAGACAGCGCAGTGTATCATCTGATCAGGTCCTGGGAGAAATATTTTCTAAGAAGCTTCTAAAGACCCTCATCTCTTCACTCTTGTGTCTCTTTAATGACACAGTGCTGGGGATCTGGGGCTCCTTATCCTATTCTGAGCTGTTGTTCCAAGGACTTTAGTCCTTGTCCATAATTCTGAAGGTCATTTCTATGGGCTTATTGCCATCAACCATATCCAGGAGTCAAGAGGATACAGATATCTCTTCTTCCCCTGTTTTTGCACCCTCTAAAATCATGGTTTATTTATTTATTAGTTTATGTGCAACTGTCTCATCTTCATCAAAGTGGTTTCCTGGTGCACTCAGGAAACTATGCTCTGTGAAGATGGGACTAGTTTGTGAGTGAGATGAGATAAGGATGTAGATTGCTCTAGAATGTTCACAATTCATTATACAGTTTTAGCAACGAACTCAAGGTTTTAATAGCCTGCAAAATGCTTATCCCCTGAGTCCCAAGAGCTGCACAGAGCACAATTTACTTAGCTATATTTCTTAACTTGGTCCACAAGTAGATCATAGTGGGTTACATGAAGTTCAATGGAAAAGAAAACTCTCTCTCTCTCTTTTTAGTTTTGCCAGAACCAGGGCTTGAACTCAGGGTTTCAAGTTCTCTGTCAGCTGTATTTGTTTATGACTGGTATTCTATCACTTGAGTCATAACTCTAGCCCAGCATTTTGCTGGTTAATTGGAGATAGAACCTCATGATTTTTGGCGTTGGCTGGCTTTGAATCACAGTCCTCCAGTTCTTAGCCTTCTGAGTAGCTAAGATTGCAGGTATGAGTCACTGGCATTTGGTAAAAGATTTTTTTATGACAGAGTTATTATACACACCTAAAATTATTGCTTTTTCTCAGTCATAGTTAGAAAGTTTAGTAATTGTTAGGACTTGTTGCTCAGCATATTAACTAAAAAGGACAGATAACAGTATACATTTTAAAATATGGTTTATAAATGTGTTTCAATATGGATTCCTCTGTAATCCTTTTGTATTTTATACATTTAAAAATAGTATTCTGACTCAAACAAATTTTCAAACTACCAAAGGGAGCCCCAGTACAAAAGGCTTTAAAAAGTTCTTTGAGGTCATGGTCCAATGAGAAAATTGGATTGGTAGCTGGGTCTTTCAACCTTGAATAGCCAGGTCAGCATCTGTTTTCAAATGGAGTAGCACAAAGATTGCCTAAATATTGCAAGGCTTTTCAGTAATCTTCAGAGTGTCAGAACTTATTTAAAGAAGATGTTTTATAGTTCTGTTTTTGAAAAAGAAAATAATTGGCCCTAGGCTTAAAGCCTGTGAGCTCAGCTTCCTTCAAAATCTAAAAATATGCTATGGGAAGTCATCCTCAAATCCATGTTCAGAGAAGCAGACAGGATCAAATTATCCCCAGAGGAGATAATCCAATCATTTGAAAAAAACAGAAAGTGCCACCTTCCTAAAAAAAACAATGGGATACGATTCAATAGCATATAACAAGTTGTGGTCAGCATTTCATTTCTTAGACACTCAGGATCCAGCAGAGCCTAACAAAGCCAGCCTCTGGTGTCCACATCACCAGCTTCTTCCCTCACACCATCAACTGTTGAAACATCACCAGCAACTCTTCATGTTAATGATTTGGTTCAGATACCAGTCTGAATTTCCCACTTTGGCAAATCAACTTGGGAGTCTCACCAGTTGTGTCTATCATTAACTCAGAAGGTGCTAGTGAAAAGGACAATAGCTCCTGGGAGAGTCAGAGATTGTACTGCAGAGATGAAAAAAAACATAGCATAGATGCTGTGTGGTCCACAACATCCCCTGGTATGCATCAGTAAGATGTGTCACATGCCACTCTACATTGATGACACTTCTGTCTTCTGAGCTATAACAAAAGAGACAGAATGGAGTAGATTGTGTTTTCTGTATTACCTATCTATGACTGCCTGCTACAGGATTCCAAATATTAAGAAGATGCTCGATAAATACAAATACTAGTTATTGCAAATAAGGGAAACCATGGGACCTATGTTTCTTTGGACCTGGCTTACTTCACTTAATATAATTTTTTCCAAGTTTTTCCATTTTCTAACAAATGGGGCAATGTCATTCTTTCTGATGGAGGCATAGAATTCCACTATATAGCTAGCTAGCTAGATCTATCTATCTATCTATCTATCTATCTATCTATCTATGTGCGTGTATACATATATATGTGTGTATATATATATATATATGTATATATATATATATATATATATACATATATATATATATATATATACATATACCACATTTTCTTGATCCAATCATCTACTGAGGGGCATCTGGGTTGGTTCCATATCTTAGCTGTGGTAAATAGTGTTGCAGTGAACATAGTTGTACTGGTAGCTTTAGTATGGTCTTGTTTATGATCATTTGGGTAAATGGCCAAAAGTGTGATTGCTGAGTCATAGGGGAGCTCTATGTGGAGTCTTTTGAAGAACCTCCATACTGCTTTCCAAAGTGGTTGAACAAGTTTACACTCCCACCCACCATGCAGTAGGGTTCCCTTCTGGCCACATTCCTCTCCAGCATCTGTTGTTATTAGATTCTTGATTATAGCCATTCTAACTGAGGTGAGGTAGAATCTCAATGTTGTTTTGATTTGCATTTCTTTTATGGCTAGAGAGGTTGAACATTTATTCATGTGTCTATTGGCCATTTTTCTTTCCTCTTCAGAGAAGTTTCTCTTTAAGTCGTTAGCCCACTTATTTATCGGGCAGTTGTTTCTTTGAAGATTTGCTGTTGGGGGATTTAATTTTTTGAGTTCCAAGTATATTTTAGATATGAGACCCTTGTCCGTTGTATAGCTAGTGAAGATCTTCTCCCAATCCATGAGCTTTCTATTAATCTTGCTAGCTATATCCTTTGCCATGCAGAAGCTCTGCAGCTTCATGCAATTCCATTTGTCCAACCTTTTTTTGATTTGTTGTGTTTCTGAGTCTCTATTATGAAAATTTTGGCTTGTGCCAAGGAGACCTAGGGTTTCTTCTATTCCTTCTTGTAATGTTTTCAGGGTGTCTGCTTTGACCCCGAAATCTTTGATCCATTTAGAGTTGATTCTGGTGCAAGGTGATTATAAGGATCTAGCTTTATTTTTCTACAGGTAAATAACCAATTTTGCCAGCACCATTTACTGAAGAGAATGTCTTTCTTCCATTCTTTTTTTTTTAGCTCCCTTATCGAAGATTAGGTGGCTGTAGGTCTGTGGCTTCGTTTCTGGGTTTTCAGTTCTATTCCATTAGTCATCAGGTCTGTTCTTGTGCCAGTACCAAGCTATTTTGAAAAGGCCAAAAGCTATGTACATATGACCATATAAGATAATGTTAAGTGAAATGAACCCCAAGATAAGGACGCAAATATATTTTTTCTTTCTTGCTATTGTTTCTAATGTATTTATAATGTATCATGTGATTTTTTTGTTGCTTTGTATGTTCCCCATGGTATAACCCCTGTTTTCACTGTAT